ATTTGTAATTATTTAATTACAGATAACGCTTTTGTTAGGAAACGAAGTTGTAAAATTTTAGTAAATCCCGTTTTATTCGTACAGCCATGAACAAAAATGTGGTTTTAAAAAATGCTACGGTTTTTCGGGTTGGTAATATAATATAACAATTAACACCCTCACGAAAGTTCATGGGCGTAGCTAAAATTTTTGCTCTCTTTTTTACCTCTTCCAAAAGTTTGATTTCGATATCGATTTGTTTTGACAAAAATTATACAAAAGACGTGTAAAAGTCTCAAAATTTCAACTAAACATTTCAAAAAAACAACAGAGTTGAATTAATAATTCATTTTAACTGATGATATCATCGAAAACATCTACTCTGCGAACTACAGACCTGTTCAGCATTGAATTGCATCCTCAATGATTATCACATGACACCACTCGTTAGCAAACTCACCAGGCACAGATCGATGTGCTTATCTTGAGACATGTTTTGAGTGTCGATGAGATCCAATCCACAAAGTATGTTATATCTTAATTGTTTTTTTTAGTATACCATAATTGACTTGGCGAATTGACAAAATAATTTTTTTGCTTTGATCTTATGGATGAAATTAGTATTACTCGTATTTTTTTTTCGTTTTCTTTAACAAACTACGTCAGTAATTACAATTTATCGTAAGTATTACCTACCGATAATCGAATAATCACTGTTTAATTGGTCTGAATTAGAAGTATGTACTTACATTGAAACTTTCCGACAATGTAAACATGTTTGTAACAGTAATCTTAGATGTAAGTATTCAACTGGCCTGAATTTTTGATATGAGTTAGTTTGAGGTATATAATAACAACAAGTGACAGTAATTTTTTGTTCAACCCCCGGCCAAGGGTGAAAAAAGATAAAACAAAGGGGTTTTTCAAGATAACTCAAAAGGGGCAAGGGTTAGAAAAAAAAAGTTTCTTATAAAAGTTATAAGGCATACAATTCTACATAAAAATGGCATCTTGACTTTTTCTTGTACTATTAAAATTAACAGAGTTAGGGAGGTTAGAAGTTAAGGGAAGATTTCAGAAATTTAAAAAAATCATAACGAACAGAAAACCGAATGAATTTTGTATTTTTTTTTCAATCTATTCTAAAAATTGTAAAGAGACACGTATTTTTTTATCGGTGGAAAAACATATTTACGGGGTGAAATACACCCTCAAAGTTCGCCCCCCCAAAACAGTTTTTTCAAAATTTCTGGGGTTCTAATCAATATTTTGAAATGAAACAAAATGGAAATTACTTATGATAAAAAACAAATATTTCGCAAGTGATTCCGTGTTTGGGGGTTGCTACCCTTATTTTTTATTACAGAAAAACTATATTTTTTTATTTATAAAAAAATCATATTTACTCAAAAGGACTTAAAAATATGATTTATGTAAATAAATTGGCAAAATTAAATTGACCTGTTTCGGAATTTTCGTTAAAATCTCTGTTTAGGGGGATGACAAATTTGAAATTGTTATAACTTTCTTATTAAAAATTAAAAAATATATCTATTTCTCTGAAAAGAAAGGTTACATTTTTTAGAGTAGATCGAAAAAAAAAATACAAAATTCATTCATTTTTCTGCTTAT